TGTTTTTGAGTGGGTACATACTTATACAGTCTCAATGAAAACGCCAGCCGGGGTAGTCATCGCTGTGTCTGCTTTTCTTGCATGGTATGACGATTTTTTTTTGTGCTAACAACAAGCAGAATTCGCTGACTATGCTCAAAGCCTTGTCGGGTATCAGTGGGAATCCTGATTTTCGCCTCCCCTTAAAGTCCAAGGAAAGGCAGCTGAAGGTGTGAAAGAAATCAATAGTAAAGGAGGTCATTTTGACTGCACGAGTTGGTTAACCATTTTTTTTATTTTGAAGGAGCTCCAATGTAACTGTTAACTCCCCCCCCCCCCCCTCTGCGTTATCAGTTTTGGTGGACAAGTTTTGTTTAATGATCAACCTATTCAGAATATTTTGCGATCTCTTAGGAAATTTTCCACTTATGATCTTACCGATATTCACGGTCAGACCATCCTGTTCGAGGCGCCGAGATAGTTGATTTGGGATTCAGTGTACGATCAAGCTAACACTTTAGTCCGACTTGATGAGCCTGAGTGGATAGTTTTGACGATAAAGCTAAGCATTCTTTCATGCTGTCTAGTTTAGATTCTAAAGATATTTTCTTCCAGCACGTAGTGTCCTAGTGTCTTGGTAGTGCCCTAGTTTATCGCAGGCATTTCAATTTCCACCGAGTGTGATGGCGTTTAAGGAGAGCTTCGTGCGGCAACTGCTTATGTAATTGCTCGTTATCGAAAAACCTTGCGTAAATCTTGGGTTCTCCAAGTTGTAAGTGGTCAAATTCACTGCACAATAGCTACCAAATCACCCAGCAACGTTGTTTATTCTTCCATATTCGCTATTGACCACGATTGTGTGTTAGCAATGGTCATTGACAAGCAGTTTATTTATTTATTTATTGATTTATTTATTTATTTATTTATTTATGCCTAAGGGTTTGCACATTACAAAGTGGAGAGGCATGTTATAATTGACGACAGAAAAGAAGACTGCATACAAAACAAAACGAAATTTGAATAATACATATAATTGTACAAAACAGATTACATATCAAATATGCCAACAAAAAGCGATCCGGATTATACAGGTTATACAAGTTTAAGAATAAAAGGAAAGAACAACAGCAACATAAACACACACACACCTCTCCCGAAAAAAGACGAAGACTTCACATATATATAAAGAAGCAGAATCAAACAGTGGTAAACATATTTTCATAAAAAAACCTTAATCCTAAAACATGTGTCAGAGATGGTGGTAGCTGATTGTCGCAGCATATTCGATTGCGATGTGGTTCTTGCAATGAAGGCATGCGAATATGTTATCGCTCTGCAGCAACAAACATAAACTCATTGTAGGTAGTCAATTTTAGGTGAATGGGAGTTTATGAATCTGTTCACGGAGGTAATCGTTGTGATAAAAAAAGTAAGGGACCCTAAAGGCGCGCCGTTAAGAGTTAAACGTCATAAGGACATCCAGTTCGTAATGCGTGGTTCGTAGTGCCCTGAAAGCGCTACTGCACTTTTTGCGATCGACCGGCCTTTCTGAACGGCTGTAGCCAGAACACCCTTCCTGTGTGCGGTTTTGTTTTCTTATGAGTGCATGTGCATTTTTATTTTCGTTTCTTCTCTCACTCTTTTCACCCTCTTTCTTGCCCCTATTTCCCCACCCCCCCATACTGGATAGCAAACCGGATGCCAATATCTGGTTAACCTCCCGGCCTTAATTTCTCTCTCTTTCTCTCATACACTTATCCCATAAAACCTTTTCGAATTTGCTATGAACCCACTATGGGCCCTAAGGGAACAGGTGCAGTAGAGTGTGTGCCTTTGGTAGTCGGGTACCGGCTTTAAACCACGGAGCCATTACGACGAAGCGATTGCCATGTTAGAGCACATTAATTTACTTATACCATTTGGTTTGGATCCATACATACCTCTGTCTCAAATCACACACACACACACACACACAATATATATATATATATATATATATATATATATATATATATATATATATATATATATATATATATATATATATATATATATATATATTTATATATATATATATAATGATTTATTTTATTCGCATCGTTCTTGATTTCTCAGTCACGTATAACATGATAATTTTACGCTCACAACCAATGACGCCGAAAACTCATGAGTTGTCTGTGAATAGCACTATCAACTTTTAGATATAGCTCTCATTTTTCACTAAGACCTTATTCGTTGGACGTACAAGCCAAGGAGCAATAAACCCCTGCTTCCGCATCATTACGCCCACACAAAACTCGTAAAACGAGGCATTGTAGACTTGCGCTTTAGGAATGCTTTACAGAAGTCTTGTCCACATCTAATGACTGCTAGTTTTAAAGAGCAAACAGAGTGACTTTTTAATGCTAGCTACCCCTCCCACATACATGTTTCTGTAGTGGAAAATTTGGTCAATAATGTTCAGATCTCAGAACACGCCCTCTCCTAGGTTGAGCCAGTAAGGCCTAAGAAGCTTGCCGCGGTTTCTTATCTACATGGTATCTCCCACAACTTGAAAAAAAGTTGCGGAGCGGGCCAATATTAAGGTGGTTTTCTCTGCCCCGAAAAAGTCATCTTACTTGTGCATGAAGGTTGTTTCACATCCAAAACCTGGTTGTTCCAAAAAGCACAAAATCTTGTTTGTCAAGTTTGCAGCAAATATAACCTATCAAGTACATCTTTGATGCTGCAAGCACTACATAGGACATACTGGCCGCTTCATCAATGACCAACTCGGTGAACACGCTTACCGCTTACAACGTCCGGAATGATCACGATGGCTTTTTGGCACAACCCTGCAGCACGTGTGGTTCCAAACCACTTGTTTATGATACCGTCATTGTTGGTAAACACAGAAATAAAATGAAAAAGGAGATTGTCGAGACAGAGAAGATGTTTAGATTAGGGCTGAACTGCGTCAGGACTCCTTCTCTCGGGCTCTGTCATAAAGAATTGTCCTTCCTAAGATTGTACACTTTCGCGCATGAAAATTGTGGGTTTTAACACTGTTTGTGTCTGTATTTTTTGCATTTCGTGAGTATATATATGTACGCTCATCGAAATAAAATTTTGTTGGAAGTTATCACTCCTCTTTGTCCCTTCTTTTGTCCTGTGTCTCAGTTTTTACGTGCTGCGTTGTTAGTTATGTATTACAACACAACCAACTTCCTACTCTCGTCATCTGTATTTCAAGCTGTAAAGCAGCTATGCCTTGCGCAATTAGTTCAAGCACCAGGCTGATGATGTGCGACGAGCTAATTGCATTAACTGTAACGCTTTCTGCACACAGCGTGGTGAACTCCTTGGAGCAGCTTAGGAAGGCTTTTGCACATCAGGCGGTTTCGCAGAGCCTTCTAGATTGGCTCACTTTTTATCAAGTGATGATGCAATGTGCTGACGGCATCAGGTTGTGTCACGTTGCGTGAATCCGCATCATGAAGTCATACTCTCTTCATGATGGCGTCATCTCGTGGTAATGTTTTGAGTCACTCGTGTTATTGCCAACACCACAGACGATCTTTTTTTTCGTTTTTGATGAGATATCTAAGGCTTTTCCTTTGAAGGGGCACTAAAGAGTAAAACAATTTTTTTTGCGTATCAGAAAACGGATGAAAACTTGTGAAATAAAAATGCGTGTGAAGGCGCTACTTTGAAATTCTCGCACCAAAAATCATCACGTCATAAGTTTTGAAGGCGTATACTGGGTCCTACTTAGCTTATAATCAAGAAAAATGAAGTACGTTGTCTTGTGTGGGCACCATAAACCTAGCATACAATTTTTTTGAATATTTGATCTAGACAATGTCGCTAAAATATGAAAAGTATATTTTGAAATTTTTAACTTCGTATTCAGAGATTTCAGTGAAAAATAAAAACAACTTTAAAATTCGATATCCATTTTCTCCGCTATTATTGACCTCATGATAGTCAAAAATGTGGCATTACAGTTCTGAGAGTGCACTTAGAAGTCATCGCTTCTCTTTAGTGTCATTTCATTAAGAACTGCGCCAAGTGTTTCACCACGCCAGCTTTCAAGCTGTATTGGCATCTTTATGTATGGTGCACGCTTTGGCGTTTAAAGTTGGTACTATGCTCACACTTTCTGCTGAGCGTTTATTTTCTCCTTTTTATTTTTCACACAAAACTTCTTTAATTTCTCATTTTATTTTATTTTCTAATTAGGGCCACCGCCATTGCGAACGGGTGACTCGTGGTTTTCTCCTCAGCTTTTTACTCACTATGAGGATTTTAAAGGTCGTCATGTTTTGACATTGTATCCGATAGGCTTCAGTTCTCAGCCCTTGTTATCTCGAATATACAATCCTTAATACAGACTCATCGGCTGGCTTTGTTTTTTCGTATCTAGCCCGTTCTTTCGTTTAAAACAAGCTTATTTTATTCCTTATTAAATGCGTTACGCTTCGATGTGTACCCAGTGGAGTTATCCTGAACTCTTCTATTGCGCTTATTTTAGTGCCCTGTGATGAGTGTGGTACGCACTTGAAGTGCGGGCATTTGAAAAGTGTTTGTCAATAAAATTAAGTGATGACAGAGTGCACGCGTGGTGCTCCGTAGACGACGACGACGGGAAAGACGTCGCGTGCGAGACGTCTTCGCCGTCGCCAAGCACGAGGACGCGTGGCGCGACGAGAACTTCAACGTAACCAACAGCAACGGGACAAGTGCGCCAGAAGTCAAAAGCGATTCCGAGACAGACAAGATCAGGAGAGTTTGAAGAGAACGCGGTGAGCGGAAAGTTGTCACGTGACCGGGCGCTGAAAATGGCCGTGGGGTTCCGGAATCGAGCCTCCAAGACTTCAACCAGCCGAGGCCTCCTGCTACTACATTTTCGCTCGAGCGGACCATAGCCATCCAGTTCTGAACTCCAGTCAGGGCCTGCCGACTTCAGTGCCAACAGGCAAGAAGCAACAACAGTAGGTCTCCGGGCCCGAGCTGTACATCGATCTGCCTGGCCAGATTACCCTCTTCTCGACACCTTGCCCACCAGCCATTCTTCTTCGCAGCCAGCTGACCACTGTTCGCTCCACAAGACAATAATTTTCATTTGGTGAGACCGAACACTCTTCACCAGTCCGCCGCACCCGCGTTCGAACTGAATAGCTTAGTTTAGTTATATGGCTTGTAATTCAGTTGTCGATGTGAGTGTTTTACCACGTCCAGTAAACCTTTTACTAAGTGTTTCGGTTTTAGAAGATTTTCGTGTTTTTACCATTTCATTAAACATTTTGTGTGAGTTTTGTGGAACTAAGTGGCTTAGTCCTTTTTTAAGACTCTCACAGGTTCAAAGCTTTAGAGCTCTTACTAACATATCAGAACCTGCATTAAAATTTGACGTCCGCAACTGGACAAAGCCATTTGTTTTCAGGTAGGCTTTTAGACGTGATGAAAGTTACGATGAGCACGTGCGAGGTAGTCAATATGGTGGATAGAATGGGACTTACGGGAGTGGTGTTTAGAGTGCGGTACGAGGAGCGGATGGAGCAAGAGCGTGAGGAACGGGCTGCAGAGCGAAAGGCAATTAAGGAAAAGCTCAAAATGGAGTTAAAAGCTAAAGAGGAGCAGTTCGATTTCAAGAAATCAAAGGCTATGACTGAAACGCTCGAATCGAAGCTTACTAGAACGAGGCAAGAACTTGAATTAGAAAGGAGGGCGCTTGAGCGGCAACTTGAACTCGTGATGGCTAGGAAAACGCCGGTTGAGGGAGAGAACTGTGAGCACGTATGGTACGGTAACCATAGTGAACAGGCTGTCGGTACTGGCTCGAAAAATATTTCCAGCCAAACCAGTTAGATTATGGCGGTGCGGCTGACCCTGAACCTCGTGAGAATCTTTCGCTACAGCCAGAAGCTCAGGTGGAGGAGTACCTGGATATGGGCAGCCTAGAAGCTGTGGAAAATGCGGGGCAGCCCGAAGAAGCAGAGCAAAGCTTTGCGAGCATAGAACAAACAAGTTGCATTCAGATTAAGGTGTGCGCCGGGAGCTCTCAAAGGCCCAGCACATTCCAGGAAAAGGTAGGTCTACCTCTCGACAGCTCCACCGAAGGAGCGCTGGAACGTCACTTGCGTGAGAACGGCGAGTGCCCTTAAGAAGGGTTTCAGGTAGTGGCCATGGTTCACGTTTACTGCTGGATCTGATAACCGAGGTGATGAGCTTGGTCAAATGCCATGCAAATAACTTGTTCGTCAAGCGAGATAGTTTGAATGCCTGGATTTGCGCAGAGGTAACTCCTCCGAGTGAGAAAAATGAGAGTGCTGGAACACTCGTTCAGACAGGTAGTACAGAAGTGGAGGTGTTGTTGTTAGCAGGTTCTGATGTCGACGGGCAGAATACGAAAAAGAAAATTTTTGAGACTGTTCTACTTGGTGCCGATTCTTGTGTGCCGCTGGATGCATTATCAGATGACACAGGTTTGCTAGAGTGCCACGCAGACATAAGTCCTAAAAATGGATCGAGATTAACGTATCGGGCAAGCGGACAAGCGATTTATACGGGAGAACTGGAGCAAGGTGCAGAAGAACTAGTTGAAGGACATATAATAGAGTCTCAAACTCCATGCTCATTTTGTGGCGATGAGGGCGAGCAAAATGACTCAGATGGAAGGGTTCATATGGCAGGAAAATCATTAGGAGAAACAGTAGAACTGGCGGAAAGTGAGCGAGAAGAGATTGCTTCACGAACTGATTGTTATTGGAGCAGTGAGGAAGCTGAGTTGTACTGTTTGGTGTCTTAGGTGACATAACTCATTCCGTTTAAGGAGTCGCTTTTATTACAAGCTTACGGCTCGAAGCTAGGCGTTCTCAGAAAAGACACAGTTAAAGACGTTCGTGTACTGGTGTGTCTGGAAGTAACGCCTACAACTAGATAGCAAAGATGCGAGTATTGATGCTAGCGATTTGGGCGCTGAGCCTCTGATGATCCATAACTTGAGGAACAGGCGAGCCTATGGTGGAAAAGTCTTCTACAGGTGTCTGATTCTCGCTTCTATCCAGGTGATCAGGGTTGTTTCGCATCTTGTTTGGGACGCTATTACCTAAGCGTTCAGTAGAAGTAACCAGTGGATCTTTCGAATATTGGTAGAGGACAACGGAAGTGCATCTCTTGTGAATAATCGAAGTTATGAACTTTCCAATTTGGAAGTATTACATGGTGTGTAGTTTTTTTTTTTTTTTGCAGGAAGGTTTGCATATGTAAAAGATGACAGAATACTGAACCGGTGTATTTCTGTGTGAACTTTCAAGATAAATACGGTGAATCTTGCCTTTTGAAATCTGGATATTTGAACAATGTGTATTGGAGAGTAGGGGTCATGTATGTGTTAAAATTGTGGTGTGTGGCAAAGTGGTGAAATGGTTCGTGCACCAAGCAGCAGTTTCTAGAGGTGAAAAGCTTTCCGAAAGGGGAGCTTTTATGATAAACGTGGTGCGCTTTTGAAGTGCACTCCTTTGAAAAGTGTGCGTCAACAAACTGAGGTGATGACAGTGCACGCGTGGCGCTCTGTAGACAGCGACAACGGTCAAGACATCGCGTGCGAAAGCAGAGGACGCATAGCGCAACATGAAAGCCAATGAGGAGCGACCATGGAGTTTTAACGCAACCAACCAGAACGAGACAAGTGGGCCAGATATCGAGAGGTATCCCGAGACAGAGAAGAGCAGGGGAGTTCGAAGATGACGTGCCGAATGGAAGTTTGTCACCGGACCGGGCGATGAAAATGGTCGTGGGATTTCGGACCCAAGCCTCCAAGATTTCAACCGGCTGGGGCCTCCGGCCACTGCGCTTCACTTTGAGTGGACCATAGCCTTCCGGTTCTGAACTCCAGCCAGGGCTGCAGACTTCGGTTCCAACAGACAAGAAGCAACAAGAGTCGGGCTTCGGGCCCGAGCTGTACATCAAGCTGCCTGGCCAGATTGTCCTGACTTCTCGACGCCTCGCCCACCAGCCAGTATTCCTTCGTCGCAGCCAGCTCAGCGCTGTCACGTCCACGAGTCAAGTATTCCTATTCGCTGAGACCGAACAAGCTTCACCACTCCGACGCTCACAAGTGTTAAAACTGAATAGCTTAGTTTAGTTATTTCCTTTCTAATTCAGTTGTCGATGTGAGTGTGTTACCGCGTCCAGTAAACCCTTTATTAGGTTTTTTGGTTTCGGGGAATTTTCGTATTTTTATCTTTTAATTAAAAATTTTTGTGAGTTTTGTGGGACCAAGCGGCTTCGCCTTCATTTAGGACTCTCACAGGCTCAAAGCTTCAGAGCTTTTACCAACACGAAAGAACATGCATTACATGCCCATAAGGGGATAGATATATGAACAACCTGTGCAGGCGTGCACTCGTACCTCCTCGGCATGAAGTCGCGAATCGGTGCCCCTTCTTGTTCGCAACGAAGTACAGATCTAGGCACGCATAGCTTTCCATACGCAAACTTCAATTAAAATTTTAAAACCGGCATAGTCAGCACTTCCTGGTGTCCTGTAAACGTTATTGGCTTTTTTGTTATAATTTTTGGTGTCATTCATCACCGTCGCACACTTCTTTATTTTGTTTTTGGCTATCGCACATGCATCAGTGTTCATACTTCAATTTTATAATGATTAGCAGTGGTGGGAAAGACGAGAAAATTCATCCGTCATCGTCTCGAAGAACGCCTGCACTCATTTTCATTTGTAAAAAGCACAGCATAATGTCTAACACAAAGACCTTTCATGATCACGCACCATAGCGTGTACCATCAAATATGGGCGGTTGCGGGAGCAATTCAGTGCTTAAAAAGCCGTGCGTAGTCAGCGACCCACACGGTGGGCGTTCCCTACGCCCATTGGCACTCGGAGACATAAGCGCCATCTGTGGCCTTTCCAGCCCAGAACAAAGCGCCGTGGTCACAGCTCACTATGAGGAGGTGCAGCCCGTGCACACGTCCTTTCAGTGTCGACTCCACACAATGGAACCCTTGTCACCTCCACTTTTTGACCCCGAGGACATACTCTGCCAAGCACGCAAAGGAACTACAAAAAATTGCACGACTACGCCTTCAAAACAATGGTGCGTTCGTTTAGTTTCTTAAATCCCAGCTCATCCCGCGAACCTCCAAACTGAATTAAAGCCGTGATTAAGGCACTCGATTTCTTCTATATTCCTTTAGAACGACCGAAGTGTCCATATCGCGGCAATAATAATCGAAAAAGCAAAGGAGTCAGCTGCAACAACCTAATTACATTTTGAAATTTGTGTTATTATTCCTTCTGATTATGCGAAATTTTGTTGCCTTTTTATTTATAGCGGAGCTGTCTATGGCGACGTTCTGGAAAAAAAATTTTTAAAAACATAATCTGCGCAGCGTGGTGGCGCCATCTCTTGGAGGCGGCGCGAAACCACACACCTCCATCCACGTGAGGGTTTCGCTCCACCTCCAAGAGATACCGGGACTACTATAGTAACTGTATATGTTCGCTAGAGTAACTGCATATGCTACCTAAAAGTAGCATGTACTTTAGCGAGCCCATCTCGCGCAGCTCACTAGAGTAACTAACTAGAGTAGTGGACTCAGGCTCACTAGTGTATAACTGCCTAGAGTAATGCACTCGCGGCGTAGTTATGTTATTTCTGTCTGAAGCACCTAGCGCCAGCAGAAAGACAATTATGTGAGGGATCTGACTCCAATAGATGTCATCGAGATAAAATCACTGTCGAAGAATGAGCCTGCTGACGGGCCAACCACCCCAGTATCACGAAGCCGAAAATTCTCGCCGGCAAGTTGGTTACAAATAAGACAAAAGCGCCCCGGGATCATCGGCAAGATTTTTTACAAGAGTTGCTGAGGAATCCCCCTTATGGTCTCTGAAGGAGCGGGGGGTGCAAAATCTGCCGCATACGTTGACATAACAGAGGAGGGTACTGATGCGATGAACCGCCGCTTTGCCTGATGGGGAACCCTGCACACGAGTACAGTTCTGCGGACACTTCGTCAATATTTCCGGCGTGCGTGACTAACTGCC